GATCGGACGATAATTGGAGGGGTCAGAATTTTCTACAGAGTTTTTGAATATTGGAACCACAGATGCCATTTTCCAACAAGCAGGAAAACAAGACTCGAGTTTAATTGAGATATGACTTTAGCAACAGAAGCCGGAGTGATTTGAATGTCTAAAAATGGGTCAACCTGTTTGACTGGAATGGAAGGAAGAGAATGTCCATAAGATTCAAGAGTGGAATTAGAAGAAAAGTTCTTTGCAAATAGTTCTGCCTTATCCTTGGGAGAGGTAATGAGATCAGTCCCATGAATGAGAGATGGAATGTTAGATCTACCCTTGTTAATAATGCTGTTGCAGATTTTCCAAAAGTCTTTAGAGCCTAACTTCTGTGATAAGATGCGAGATTTAGTGAACTGAGAATAATGGAGTTTAGCATCAGAAAGCACCTTTTTACATCGATTTCTTGCAATAATAAATAGCCGTTTGTTCTCAAGAGAGTTGTTTTTTTGAAAAAGATGAAAAAAATAATTACGATTGGATATAGCAGCCGCACAAGAAGGAGAAAACCATGGAGTAGAATGAGGCTTGACTTGAAACCGACGCGGAGGAATAAAAGCTTCCATTCCAGCCTGAATCCAGGAGGTTATATGGGAGGCGCATTTCTTAGTTGAGAGAGAAAAAACATCAGCCCAAGGACCATCACGAAGAAAATCACGAAAGGAATCCCAGTCAGCTTTAGGGTAGTAGTAGGTGGTGCGATGATAAGGTGAGCCCAATAAAAGTACGAGAAGAAAGATTTATAGAGATCATTGCATGGTCAGAACCACCTAAGGGAGAAAAGGGAGAAACTGAACATAAGCTAGGGTCAGAGACAAGACATAAGTCAAGGAGTGAAGGTAAACGATTAGGGTTGTCAGGAAAACGAGTCACAAAGTTAACTATCTGAGTAAGAGATTGAGAAACGCAGAAGTTAAAGGCTTTAGTGCCAGCAGGATCAGTGGTGTTAGAGCCAAGCCATTCAGAGTGATGGGCATTAAAATCACCAACAACAACAATATTGGCAGAGGGGTAAAGAGAGAGGGCATGGTCAATTTGATCAGAGATCAAATTGACCATGCCCTCACTTCTAAAATGCCCTCAACTTCTAAAAGAGTGCAATCATGGGAAGAAGGAGAACGATAAAGAACAAAGAGAAAGGTGATAGAGTGAAGAGGTGCTAGGCGAAAGCACATAAAAGAATGGTCAAAGGATTCGAACCTGATTTCACGACAAATAGGGGAATTAATGCGTATGTATACCCCTAAACCTAGCATGTGACTATTGGAGTCTTTACGAATCAAAGGATAGTACCCATCAACACTGACATCTGAACAAGGAATTGCAGAATTTAAATTTGTTTCACTAAGTGCAAGCAAGTCTGGTGAATTTTGCAGGAGGTAAGACTCAACTGACAGAAAGTTGCTTTGTAGACTGCGAATATTTGTAAAAGATATATTAAAACATTTAGGTTGTGGGGATGGTTTTTTAGGTTTTAAAGTTTTAGTTACTTTGGTCATGATTTAGGTTTAATAAGAACTTGACTCATTCATAAATAGAGCACAGCCTCCTAATCAATGAGCTATGCAGTTGTCTCAGTCCTGTTAATTAATCCTAAGCCGTGACATAGGGCTCCTTATGTGGCCTTGACAATGCACACCAAAAGCATTAACAGGGACACCATCCATGCGCAACATGGCACTGTTAATACTCTGATATTTTGCAGCTGTTGATGAAATCAACCTCTCTGAGAGCTACCACAGAGTTCGGGAAACCTAACTACCAGCCGGCCTCAGAACCATTAAACTGAGTTTTAGAGCAGTACCTTCATATGGAGATAACAGGATGAGTTGCATAGCCATTATCAAGGAGGCATAAGCAAAATTCTATGAGTAGAGTCAAGGAGATCCAGCATTCATCATCCTAGGCAGGAAACAATGTAACACAGGTTACATCTACGCCAACCTAATAGATGAAGAAGGGTTTCGAGCCTGGTTAGCAGAATTTTACTGCTTACCCCTAAAGTCTTTGCCTAGGAGGCCTTCTACAAGACAGTAGCTGGATGCAGTTAACATCTGCCCAAGATGAGTATTTTTATCGAGACACCATCTCTAGCCTTTACTCAACCAAGAGCCCCAAGGCAGGGGATGTTTAGCTGGATGCAGTTAACATCTGCCCAAGATGAGTGTTTTTATCGAGACACCATCTCTAGCCTTTACTCAACCAAGAGCCCCAAGGCAGGGAAATTTTTAGTCGGAGTTTATTTCTCCTAGCCTTTGCCTAAGAAGAGCACACTCTGCAAGGCAGCAGGGCTTGTGGCAGGTGGTACTGGGTTACGTGATACCAGTAGCAAGATTGATCTTGATTATCCTGACCTGACCTGGAGTAGTTAAAAGGAGTTACTTCCCGCAACAGTACTTTGAGAAAACCAGGCATGACATTTTGAAAGTGCATCAGGAAAAACACTGCATCTAACAAAATACAGGAG